TCTTCATTGGGCTCCTGGTATGCAAACCTGACCTTACATTGTTGTTGTGGCCTTCCTCTAGGACCTTCGCAGAAAGTATCTTTGGCCACTATACGGTGTCGGGACCTATGGGTCCCGAAACAAGTCCCGACCCTTAAGAGATGGTATACGACAGATATGTGCACGGCAGAGAAAACTAGAAGGCAAGAGAAATAGGAAGGATGGAGGGCTAAGGCATGGTTGCCAACACCCAGGGCCCTAGAGGATACCCTGGGCCGTCGGAACCACTGGGCCACGAATAGATTAATAAAGTAGCAGGCGGCGAAGGACTGCAAGAGAGTAGTAAAGGCGGCCCTCCTTCTCAAAAGAAGGAGAGCCGCCGGGAAAAATAGAACCCTGGGCTGAGCGCCACAGGGTGAAGGGGACCAACGACGTCAAGTAAATAAGTGTCGGGACATAAGCACGTGAGAACGTAGCACATGGTCGGGATGGCATGAGAGGGGCGAAAGGGCCATGAGCCAAGCACGGGGGTGCAACGGACCACAAGGAAATACCGGGACCACGAGGAAGAGAGCCTTGACGGTCGTAGGACTCTAGAGAAGGAAGGCCCTAGCATGGGGGCCGCCCCTCGGCAACTGACGGGGACCGCGAAAGTAAAGGTCCCGCGGCCGGAAAGACCGGCGCAAGTGAGACACGAAAAAAGACGAGAAAATAGAGCCACCATAGCGTGGCAAACGCCAAAAGAAATCGGGACACCATGGAGAGCGGTGTCGGGGACCGCATGGGACTAAGTAAAAATAATGGTGTTTTGGGATAAGTGCAAGCAGCCGGCAGGACAAGTGCCAACGGACCACCGGCGGGACAAGTAGCAGTAGGACCACCGGCGAGACAAGTACCAGCGGGACCACCGGTGGGATAAGTGTCGGGGACTAGCGCGGGACAAGTGGCGGGGACTTGTGATGTCCCAAGGAAAAGTTGTGGCGGGCCATGAAAAAGAAATACTCAAAGCAAAGTGCGCCATCAAGATCGAGATCTAAACGACCAAGAATATTAGCATCACTAGTGCAAGCACTAGTGGAAGCAAACAGGAGGACCAAAAGGATAAAAGAAAGTAAAGAAATGTGAAGGAAGAGGCATGGCAGCAATCCGGAACATCTCGGATCAGCCACCTTGAAGAAAATGGAGCCTAGAGAGGCTCCATGTGAAAAATAGGCCTTCGGGAGAAAATCGGAGCAGGAGGGGTCAGAGTTTGCAGGAAATAGAGGCAAAATGAGACCCTCATGAGCATGAGGGAGCCATAGTTGCAGTCCGAGAAATAACGGATTGCATCATGGGCATAGGAAGGGCCAAAACCAAGAGGTAGGGCCTAGAAACAGGCTCAACAACTAGTGGACACTTGGCATACTAGAAAAAGAAAGAAAAAAAAAAGAAAAAATGAAAGAAAAAGGTGGGAGAATAAGACGAGGAGTGAGAGGGAGTGAGTGAGTTGGCACAAGTAGGGACTGGAGGGACTGGCAAGTCCCTACTGTTCAGATTTGGAAGGAAAAAGAAAAGGGAAAGAAGAAAAAAGGAAAGAGGGCACTAACGGTGAAAAACGGTCACTTGGGGAGATACGCCCGTGACCAGATACATCCTGGGATATGTCGGTTGCCAAGTATCTTGATTTTTTTTAGATTTTGCTGAGAAAATCAAAGAGAATCAAGGCCTCATGCAACCGAGATACAACGAATCGTTTCATTTTGTTTCAGTTTGGGGCAAGTTGTGGGGCAAGTTGTGGGGCAATGGGGCTAGGAAAATGCCCATTATGGCAGTCCGAGAAATAACGGACTGCATGGGGGTGCCTAGGCCAAGAGAAAATCGGCCTTGGCACACCCAAGACACTAGAAAAGAGTGTCTCGGGCTTAGGGCAAATGAAGACGGTAAATGGCGGCCGCGAGATGGTGGATCTCGCAGTCGAAAATAATCACGGCACTTGAGGCACATGAGAGGGAGAGATTGGGACTGGCAGGGCGAGGGAGCCCCAAATAAAAATGAGACGTCACCGGGGACAACGCCGGGGACTAGATGGGGCCAAATAAAAATAGTTGGAAATTGGGTCATGTGGCGGCCGTGCCACCGGCGGGACTAGAAAATGGAACTAGTTCGAGGTGAGTGGCGGGGACTTGAGTGTCCAAAGAAGGATCGTAGGCGCCCATGAAGGACGGACATGAAAAGCAAGTGACACCATCAAGATCAAGATTTTGATGGTGAAAAATATTAGCCACTATTGGTGCAGGAACTAAATGGGCCAAGGGAGAAGGTGCGAAGGGGCAAAAAGGGGAGGAAAATGATGATGGGAGGACTGCCCAGCAGTCCGAGATATCTCGGACTAGCAAGGCATGAGAAAATAGAGCCCCAAGGGGCTCAATGCAGAAAATAGGCTGCCAAGAGAAAATCGTAACAAAGGGGGCTCAAAATTGAGACTAACGAAGGCAAAATAAAGCCCCCATGAGTGTGTATGGATAATAAGGGTGAGTGGCACAGAATGTCCTGAGAGATAATGCGAGGCATGGGTAGGATGAGCTGGATGCACCAAGGGAAAGGCACTTACTTGTATTTTGTATGTCCCACTTGGGACTTGTGAATTGCTCGAGGAGAATTGAGTGTCCTGCCTGCGGAAAGGAAGGAAGGGGTCTGAACCAACTGGGCGGGCTGTGAAACGTCGTTCCTTTGAAGTGCCACTTTGTCTCATGTGCGGCGGGTTGGTCCTCCGGGCTGTTGGCAGGAGTTGGTCTTGCCGATTGATTAGTAGCACTCTCTTCAGGGCAGACCGAGCATGGCTCGGCACCTTGCCCGGTTGGATATGAAACGTCTCCTCGGACGGGGCGACCGCTTGTCAAGAGACAGAGGAAAGGCCACTGCATGTGGGGCAAGGAGGGCGCCTCGGGGACAATTAATAGCTTCCTAAAGTACGGCATGGGAAAGGCAAACTCCTAACGGACCAATGGAAGTGAATGCTTGGACGACTAACCTTTGCTCCTACCGGGGTACGAGGGGTGATTCTTGGTGCCAACGGAGGTGTACAAGGGCGGCAAGAAGGGATGAGGTACTTTGGGCAAACGGAGAGTGGTTATACCCTGTGCCGGAGTTGAGGTACCGCACTCGCGACTTTTGAGCTGTGCTTGAGGTATGGGATAAAACTCTACGGATGGTAATAGTGAATAGACCACTTTGGGAAAGAGGCTGGTAAGGAGATGACCGCGCCTGTGTGTGAGATTGCCTGCATTTTTCGTATTTGTAATCCACCTCTGTAAAACTGATTGAGATACGAGTTGTTGGGCAGGGCCAAAATTCTAATATATTCCCACCTCCCACTTAAGTCCACACGAGTGAGTGAAGACTGTGAGGAGAAGAGATAGAGGTTAGTTTTGAATGGAACCGAGAAAATGAAACATGGGTAAAGGGGACCGTTCAAGGGCATCCAAGGAAGGATAGAGCTAGGGAATGGGGGGGTAGACTATGCTAGACCTTGATGAGGGGTCTGAAAATATTCTCATCTAGGATATAGGCTGATCAGACCCAAGGACCGGGGTCGGGGCTTGGTTGTGAAAAGTAGGGATCGGGTGCTGGAACCAAGATGGCACGGTGGCTATCGTCCCCAATCTATTTCAACAGTCAGGCAGTGACTGGAGTATGTGAGAGAAAATAGAACGTGAGCGGTGACCTCCGCGCGGTAGATGCGGGAGGTTGACGATCGTAGACAGAGCCAGACTCTGTGAGCAGAGGGCGTCATGGGTTGGCAGTCGTGAGTTTGGTCCATAGGCGAAGGCCTGACCTTGAGGTATTTGGATAGGTCTGCGTGTCGTGCGGCAACAATTTATATTGAATTTTGCAGTGGCCCGTCTCAGCCTTGGGTACTAGCACTATTGGTAACGGCATTGGACTTTCAAAGCGACGGTACAGGGATCGAGGGCGACGACCGGCAGCAATGGAACATCGGAACGGCTGAAGATGCCGAGGGGTTGAGGGCCCGGCGGGGCTATCCCCCTTGGTTTTGTTGCCGGCCCGTCCATAGGCCCGGTCGGCGGAACTAAGAGTGGTAAAGGCGGTCTCCCTTTCCCAAAGTACCAGTTTTCGACGTCAGTATTTTTATTTTTATTTTTATTTTTTTTTAAGTTATTTTTAGTTGTTGGTCCTGTTTTTGGGGCGCGGCGACAGCGCTGGTACCGGAGTTGTGTGCGGGGACCAGCAGGGCGTGGTTCATGAACTGTTGAAACCGCAAGCTCAGGAGTTCAACGTGCATGTGAGCCCGTTGGGTTAGCCCACAAGGCGGAAGAAACCTGAGTGGCGGGGACCCTCCACGGATGCACCATCCGCCAACCATGGTCTGCTGTGTGAGGTTTGAGTGTGGGTGTGCCCGGTTGGGACCCGCAGATGGTGAACCGTGCCTAGGCACAGCAGGACGGGAGACTGGGGCAGTGGCCGCTGCAGCAACACTGACTGTGCGCAGCCGTTCACATGGAACCCTTTGCCACACTGGTCTTCAAAGTTCCTATCTGAGAGTTGCTACTACCACCAAGATATGCAGCGGGACCTGCGTCACCTGAGATCACACTGCAAGGGTTGCGGGCCCCGCACCCGTCTACTCCTCACGACAGCCGAACATAGGCCGCACACCCGGCATCATGGGACCAGCAAAGTACCACTCCGCCTCTGCTGCAGGCACGTAGGGCCTTGTCCCATCTGAAAAGGCACACCAATGCGACCCGAACCATGCTCAAAGCCTCGATTTTGGTCTGTCTCGAATCTGCATATTTTGCAGATTTGGAGTCGCAGTGTGAGCATTCCCGGTGGGACCAGAGAGATGGTGAGCTGTGCCAGGGCGGAGTGGCCCAGGGCACAGTAGGGAGGCACGCAGCGGTAGCTAGCTGGTCACATGGAACCCCTCCCCATTCTGCTGTTTTATTTTTTTTAATATTTTTTTATTTTATTATTATTATTTTTTTGATGTTTACTTATTTGAATTACCCCTTTGGTTTCAGGTTGGGATGCGGCCCAGGCGTGGGTTTTGAGGCTGGCAAAGGTACCAGTGGGCCAACTCACTTGGTACAACCGCAGACTGCTGATAGGCCTGTGGGACCAACAGCTGCGGACCCAGCTCAGTTGGTATAACCGCGGACTGCTGATAGGCCTGTGGGGCCAACAGCTGTGGACCTAGGTCAGGTGGTACACCCCCCGAACTGTTGAAGTACAGGCCTGAGATCAATCTCAGCTGGAACACCTGCGGGCTGTGTAAAACAGGCCCGTAGGACCAGCAACTGTGGGCCTAGCTCAGTTGACACACCCATGAACTGTTGAAGCATGGGCTGCGGGGTCCAACGTGCATACGAGCCAGTGGGTGACTAACCCACGAGGCGGAAGAAACCTAAGTGGCGGGGACCCTCTGCGGGTGCACGATCTGCTGCGGGGCAGCTGTCCGCCGCCCGCAATCTGCAGGGAGGGGTTTTGAGTGTGAGCATGCCCATTGGGGCTCGAAAGATGATGAACTGTGCCTGGCACAGTGGGACGGGCGAACCAGGGAGGAGGCTGCAACAACACTAAGTATGCTCAACTGTGTGCATGAAATCCGTCCCCACTTTCGGGCGACTGCCTGCGGGACAGCGGAAACTCAGAAACTCTATGGGAAAGGTCCGCAGTAGTACTATAAGTAGACAGGCTGTCGGACCTGGGCCTGAGTCGCTGCAGCGGTACTTCCTCGGGGCCGCACATGGGTATAGCTGGAGGAAAAGTAAAATTGAGAACCGCACATGGGTATAGCTGGAGGAAAAGTAAAATTGAGACTAGTTCAGTAGTTGGCTCCCTTGGGCCCTTCGCCCCCAGCTGCGCCATGAGCCAGGGATAGCTGATCAGTTGCCGCGGAATTCTCACCACCAAGTGCCGTTGACAACAGCGCTGGCCGAAAGGAATGAGCAGGCAACTCAGAGTCGAGGCCAGCAGGCGCAGATAACAAGGGAGAATGGACGTGGACACGCGCGAGTGCCAGGTACAGTAGAAGAAAACAGTGGCGAATGGTAGGCGGGGAAGAAGGTCGTGAAGTCGGCGCAGCTCGGGGCTCGAGATGGCGGGTACAGCAACGGGGCCAGAGAGGGCGGAGGGCCGAGGTAGCAGACAGACGACAGAGGAACGAACCCGGGCTGGAAAGCGCGCCGGGTGCATGTGAGGAGTACGGGCTATGGCCGAAGCTGGAGGGAGTGCAAAAATGTGAAAACCCGCCCGATTCTTGATGAAAACGGGCGGGGGAAGAGTCACTCTGGAGGTTCTTGGGTCAGGCGAGTCAGATGGCGCAGTCAGTTTTGTGAATAGAGTGATGTGCAGGGAGGTAGGGAGAGAATTTTGTGCGCGGAGATGAAGAAAATGAAGGAGAAGGGGGGATGACAAGACGTATAACTCGCTCGTTTCTCCACGGAATCGAGCGAGAGAAAGAGCGAAATAGGGGTTTTAAGGCAAGGCGAGCTTAGTGGTAACGTTAGTTTCGCTGTTAGATTAGTAAAATTAGAGTTAGTAGAGGAATAAGGTCCGCGGAGCTATGGAGGAGAGGGAAGTACATGGGAGTGAAAAGTCTTAATCTCGCTCGATCCTCGATGGATTCGAGCAAGATGAGATGCTAGATTGTGGTTTGGGGATGCTGCGAGGTGAATGGCATAATGAGATTCTACAGCAGGTTAGTGTGTGGAGCACTGTATGAACGATAGGCTGCGTGAAGAGGGTGAGGGTGCAGAGGTCGTAGGAATAAAATGTTGAGAAATTTCCCGATTCTCAGTGAGATCGAAGGAAGTAAAAATCATAAATGGGGGAGTATTGCGAAGTTGATAGGGGTGTAGGATTTATCTGTAGGATGTTAGTTTGGCCATGGTCAGTATTAGAAATTGCGTCGAGGAAGGTAGTTTGTTTTTCAAGAAGTGTGTGATGTATCTAGCCCCGTCTTAGCGATAGATTCATCTTGATTTTACCCAACCTATCGGCGAAAACTCTCTCCCCCTATCCCTGTTTCTACGTGGACTGAAGAGTCTGCACTAGAAAGCCCCTTTGCCTGTACTTATATCGATGTTCTTCTTTGAGTGAATCCTCCTGTGTTTTAGAGGTAGGTTCGCTCGTACTTTGTATTGTCTGTAAAAATGGAAGGTTCATTCTCGTTTTATCCGGGGGGGGGGGGGATTTTGGAAAGGTAGCGTATATTTCTATTCTAGTGTGGGGTTCCCCCTCACCTGGCATGTCAGTAGGTGGCTTGACGGAATTGGCTGTATACGTGAGGAAGGTGAGGCATGCACCTGGTCGGGTTCCCTTAGAAAATCCGTTCCCCTTCTACGCAGTCTGTTAACAGCACAGTATGACCTCGACACCTGTCTTGACCTGGTGTGTTGGGAAGAATTAGGACAGTTGGGAAGGCACTTCGGCCTCGGCCTGTGTGGTGTCGGGAAGTGGGTTAGGACGAGGTGGACTGAGACGAGAGAGGGAGAGAGTTTGAGAGGTCAGCCGCTGTTTCAATCGAGTAGGAGGATGTACGGGGCTTCCCACTGTGAGCAAGGGAAGTTGAAAGTTCCCCCATGTGCAGCACTGGTCATACCTGAGTCGAATGGGGTAGTGCCTCTGTTGGGAGGGGACTGAGAGGCAGCGGCCTCTGCTGATAGTGTTCCCTGGTATTAAGTACAGGCTGTGAGAACAACAACGAATTGGCTCTCCAGTTTCGGTCTTTCCGTGTAGACATAAACTGAGAGGGGACGTTTGGGGTTGGCATCATTGATGGGTATGAGCTACACCTGCATATATTGTGCTGTTGTGGATGGCCTGTCAGTTTTCTCTATCCGTGTTCACTATTGTTCGGAGAGTAGCTGCTATGCGAAGGAGAACCGGATGATGCTCCGTACTTCAGTAAGAACTACTTTTTGAAGAGACTAGTGCCGCAACTCCAAACTGCGGTATCCTGCAGTTACACTTCTGGCGGAGGCTGCTATTTTCCTCAGACTGCTAGCACGGCTGCGCTACTATGAGTGGCTGAAGTTGTTGGGTTTTACTGTGTGGATCTCTGCTTTGGATGTATCTGGTCACATTATTGTATGCTAATTACGCCCGCATCCAGTTGAGCTCGGCTGCGATTACTGTGTCTCAAGTAGAGCACAGGGGCGTGTTCTATTTGAACAAAGTGTTTTTGGACTGCGCATTACATCCTCGGCCAACAATTGGAGTGTGGTGGTTTGAGAGTGTGATCAGGCTTTTGCACACGAGTTACTGCTGCGACTTGCGAGATTATCAGAAGGTGCTGCGTTTTGGCTGTGGCTCAAGTGACTTCACTGCATTCTCTTGGCCACCATTGCGGGCCCCCCAGGCGAATCAAGGCAACAAGGCCCTCTCCCGCGAGTTTGAGCGCACCCCTCTTGTATCTGAGAGCCTGAACTTTCTCCTTCTGCCGTCCTTATTCTAAGTCTAGTCTAAGGGTACGAGAGGAAGGCGGCAGGCGGGATTGAAACCCGTAGGACCGCGCCAAGGCCTCTGTGGGAGATTGCCCCATCGATTGCGGGAGCTCTGCCGGAGCCCAGGCGGGGTTCTGGAGGCAGGGAACTTCAGGTATAACTCTCGTCTGACGCATGTGATCCTTTCCCCTAACTACTATTATTCCTTTGGACTATCTGAGAACATAATTATGAAAGGTTATTACTTTTTATTTTTTGGACATGCTTTTGAAAACGTTAAATTAACAAGTGAATATGAGAGTTAGATACTTTGAGCGAATTCAGACACAATGAATTGGGGGAAGGCGGGAGGAAGGTGTTTTGCATGCTTTGACCGGGTCAACCCAAGGCTGAGTTCCCCTAGGTTGGTGTGGACTCAGTGCTATGTTTATTTTTGTGCTAGGCTGTCTGAATGACCTTTTTTAGGATTGGGCCTATCCTAGGTTGGATGGCTCAGTCGTCGTTTCTTTGAGGGTTTCTGAACAGGAGGACGGGCACCCCGGGTGGGGAAGGCTCAGAGTCCTGATGTTTCTTTTAATGAGTTATGGTGGATGTTTTTTCTGAGGGAATAATGGCATAAGACTAAGCGTACCCTAGGGTTAGGGCGGCTTAGTCATGAGCCACGAATTAACTGGCCAACCAAAAGTATAAATTTTGATATATACATTTTATTGAACTTATACTTCTGACAGACGGGCACCCCGGGTGGGGAAAGCCAGTCAGTAAGTCAGGTAGTACTAAGGAAGAAGGAAAGAGATGAAGAGTAAAGCAAAGGTAACTGGGCAGACTGAACGTACCCTAGGGTTAGGGCGGTTCAGTTATATGCTCATGATAACACTAAGGAGCAGAGAGTTAGTATAAATCGATTTTATTTTTCCTTCTAGACATGAGGCAGGATCGGAAGTTCCATTTATTGGAAAGGTCCGATCGACTGCTTAATAAGAGAAGGAAAAACTTAAAGTCTGTGAAAGTATTTGTACCCTATTTTATGTTGTATGGCTAACAAGGTCTAACCCTAGGGTTAGGGCGGCCTAGCGATAAACTTTTGTCGTTTAAAGTAAGTTGGACGTACCCTAGGGTTAGGGCGGCATAGCGATAAGCTTTTGTCGTTTAAAGTAAGTTGGACGTACCCTAGGGTTAGGGCGGTCCAGCGTTTCAGAGTTTATAACTGTTCAGGCAGATCAGGCACACCCTAGGGTTAGGGCAGCGAGATCACACTGCCTTATGTAACTTAAACTGTATGGCTAACTAGGCGTACCCTAGGGTTAGGGCGGCCTAGTGATATGCTTTTGTCGTAGATGTGTTGTGGGTTGGACGTACCCTAGAGTTAAGGCGGTCTAACTTTTTCAGGCAAGCTAGACCTACCCCTGGGTAGGGATGGTATAGAATGATGCCGTATGTAACTTTGTTTAAAGCAGATTGGGCACACCCTAGGGTTAGGGCAACCCAATTCTATGCTTTTTTGTCGTCAGTTAGGCAAAAGCCAGGCGTACCCTAGGGTTAGGGCGGTCTGGTCATATGCCTTATGTGAACAGTTCATGTTATGTTGGGCATACCCTAGGGTTAGGGCAGTCCA